AAGTCAGTAAATCAAAGCAAAATATCAACCTATAACCAAAACCTTCACCTCCAAGAGAGATCAAGGTTACGGTCACGGTCAATAATCCTCAATATTTGAGACCACATACCTGTTCATTGGTCTGGCAAATCAAAACCCGGGGCCCCTTGCCGGAATCCTTGGAGATGTCCTTGACCGTCTCATCATCTTCAGGCCCCTTGTCATTAGCCGCATCATCGATTGCCAAGCCTAGACACTGGCATTTATCGACGAGTGCTTTTCTCAGCAAGGCACTCTTCTCACCGATCCCGCCGGCGAAGACTACACCGTCTAATTCACCGTTTAGTTTAACGTAGTAGCTGCCGATGTAGCCCGAGATGCGGTCGACGACGATATCGAAAGCAAGTTTATGTGCTTTGGTTGGTGGATTCGTCACTGCGATCTTGGAGAAGTCGGTTGTTCCTGTGAGGGCTTCCCAACCTGATTGTTTATTGAGGATGTTCTCAGCCTGAAGGTGTTGGATTGGGTTAGTATTTTCCTTGCTCTCTTTTTTGGCACTGGTTCTTGGGTATTCATACCGTGCTAATATGCATACTTGTCGTGCTGCCTGGGTTTAGATGGCCTGCTTCGTTGGTATAGTGGAAGACCAATCTAGATCACTAAGTATTAGTTGGCCATAGCTGCATTGCCAAGAAAGCCCATTGGATGTAACTCACGATGGGTCAATACTTCCACTACGCGTTGCACCGGGTAATCCTGCCAAAGGAGTGAGGCCCATTCTAGTCACCGTGTTAGCACGACTCTCAACTCGAGATAGATTGAGATGCAATATAAACTTTGCGGGACTCACGATGTATCCACCGACTCTCCGTTCTTGATCGCACAGATCGACGCCCCGCTCCCGATATGCATAACGATAAGATTCGTCTTCTCCTTCGGTTTGTTCAAAAATTGTGCTACAGTCCGCAGGATGAACGAGTAGCTGATGCCGTGGAAGCCATACTTGCGCAGACCATTGGCCTTGGCAATTTCCTGGTTGATTGGGTACGTGCGGACAGCTTCGGGGATTGTCTGGTGGAAACAAGAGTCGAAGAAGGTGATGCTTGGAACTTTGGGGAACTCTGCTTTGCACAGGCGGACTATCTCCAGCGCGGAGAAATTGTGACTTTTGGTCGGGCGGGGTTAGCGGGGTATTGAGGACCGAGGCAGGTATATAGTCGACTCCAGGTATAAAATCCCGGAAATATGAAGACTCGGGATAAATGAGCTTACAGAGGTGCGAGGTCTTCCAATTTCTTCAAGCGATCAAGTGTCTCATCGTTGATGAGGACTGCGTCGAGGTAGTCTCCTCCGTGGACGACTCGGTGGCAGATGTACTCTAAATCGTCGATGCTAGCGACTTCTGAAAGCTCAGGGTCGCTAAAACAGCGCTGCAGGAGGTACTTGAATGCATCTTGAGGGGTGCTGAGTATTTGTTTGACCTCCTGTTTGTGTTTCTTGTCTCCTTTGTGGTACTTGAATGTAGGTGGGGGTGCAGTAATTCCGGAGATCGACGCATCTGCGATAAGTCTCGGTGGGTTCTCGAAGGTATAGAAGTTGATTTTGACGGAAGATGAACCCGCGTTAACAGCTAGGATAGATTTAGTCATTTTGAACCTGTTTCAGCGCGTCGAGCGTGTTTTTGAAAATCGGCACGAATTTCAAAAGGTGAAGGATTAGCCGTAGTGATGTCAGGGTGGTGTGGGCTGACGTCGATAACACGAAGTACACGGCATGTTTCATGGCAACTTATTTCTTTACCTGTTTCTTTCAATTTCACTTGTAGTTTTCACTCATATTTAATGTCCTCTTGCTCCTGTCAAGTCACTAAAAACCCTACAATATCAAATTCATCATGCCTGCAGAAATTATAGACCAACCAAATCCAGCTGCGCTGCCGTCGTATCTACCAGATTATCTTGAGAAACTGAGCGTCAAGTTGGATCATGAGAAACTAGATGAAAAAGCTTGTGATGCCTTGCTCAAGTTTCGCCGAGCGGCTTGTTACATTGCGGCAGGTAATTGTGGCTATGTGCTATATATATTGCAACGGCGCGACTAACATACTGCTAGCTATGATATTTTTGCAAGAAAATACTCTTTTGAAGTCGGAACTCACATCTCACGACATCAAGCCTCGACTACTCGGTGAGTAGCATCCCCGAATTATTCAATTCGGTCATTGTGACTGATGTCATACCCCCAGGTCATTGGGGAACATGTTCGGGCCTAATTTTGGTCTACTCTCATCTGAACTACCTGATCCGGACAAGGAACTTGGACATGCTGTACGTTGTTGGCCCAGGACATGGTGCACCGGCAATCCTAGCCGCGCTATGGCTAGAGGGCTCGCTGGAGAGATTTTATCCCGAATATTCGCGAGACAGCAAAGGCCTGCACAAATTGATCTCGAGCTTTAGCACAACAGCTGGCTTTCCTAGGTTGGTGCATTGTCCTGCTATTTAGATCCTCGGCTAAGAGTTATGCGCAGCCACATCAATGCTGAAACCCCTGGTGCTATCCATGAAGGTGGAGAACTGGGATACGCTCTAGCAGTGTCCTTTGGCGCTGTCATGGACAACCCCGATCTGATAGTGCCTTGTATCGTGGGTGACGGAGAGGCTGAAACCGGTGCCACTGCCACGTTCGTCGATTATTTTCCCCTTTGCACTGTACAACGCTGATAGCGGACAGGTCCTGGCATGCAATCAAGTACATTGATCCCAAGGAATCTGGTGCAGTTTTGCCAATTCTGCATTTGAATGGTTTCAAAATCAGCGAGCGCACAATCTTTGGGTGCATGGACCACAAAGAGCTTGTGGCTCTCTTCAGTGGGTACGGGTATCAGGTTCGCTTCGTGGAGGATCTCAATGATATTGACGCGGATTTGCACTTCTCTATGACCTGGGCTATCGAGGAGATCCAGAGGATCCAAAAGGCTGCCCGTTCTGGGAAGCCGATCATGAAACCGAGGTGGCCGATGCTGATTCTGCGTACTCCCAAGGGTTGGTCGGGGCCCAAGGAGGTTCATGGCATGTTTCTCGAGGGCTCGTTCCATTCGCACCAGGTGCCATTGCCCAAGGCAAAGACAGACAAGCAACAACTAGATCTGCTGCAGAAGTGGCTCTCTAGTTACAAACCAGACGAGCTGTTCACTTCGACCGGTGATGTAATTGACGAGATCAAGTCTGTGATTCCCACAGAAGACAAAAAGAAGCTTGGTCAGCGCATTGAAGCCTACAATGGTTACAAACCACCGAATTTGCCAGATTGGAGGCTCTTCTGCGTAGAGAAAGGCTCTGACGCAAGCGCCATGAAAGTGGTTGGCAACTTCATCAATCAGACATTCAAGGATAACCCGACGAACGTGCGATTGTTCTCACCGGACGAGCTGGAAAGCAACAAACTCGATGGGGTGTTTGAAGGCACAAACCGCAATTTCCAATGGGACCAGTTCTCCAACGCCCGCGGCGGCCGTGTAATTGAAATCCTTAGCGAACACATGTGTCAAGGATTTCTGCAGGGTTATACCTTGACCGGTCGCATTGGTATTTTCCCGTCCTATGAAAGCTTCCTCGGCATCATTCATACGATGATGGTGCAGTATGCCAAGTTCACTAAGATGGTCAGCTTCCCTTTCCCCTCACTAATGTCAATTCTATGCTCACCAAATATTTAGGCGCTGGAAACAACTTGGCACACCAGCGTCAGTAGTATAAACTACATCGAATCGAGTACTTGGACGCGCCAGGAACACAACGGCTTCTCTCACCAGAACCCATCCTTCATTGGCTCTGTGCTGAAACTGAAGCCCACTGCAGCTCGCGTATACTTGCCACCGGATGCGAATACTTTCCTGACAACCGTTCACCACTGTCTAAAGTCGAGAAACTACGTCAATCTGATGGTGGGTTCGAAACAGCCAACTCCAGTGTACCTTACCCCCAAAGAGGCCGAGAGTCACTGTCGCGCAGGAGCCTCGATCTGGAAGTTCTGTAGCACGGACGAAGGAATTAATCCGGATGTCGTGCTGGTCGGTATTGGTGTTGAGGTGATGTTCGAAGTCATTGCAGCGGCGGCGCTTTTGCGTAAGCTCATACCAGAGCTTCGTGTTTGTGTCATTAACGTGACGGACTTGATGATCCTTGAGAACCAGGGTCTGCATCCACATGCCCTGTCCAATGAGGCATTCGACTCCCTCTTCACTGCCGATAAGCCTATTCACTTCAATTACCACGGCTACCCAACTGAGCTGCAGGGCTTGCTCTTTGGACGTCCGCGTCTTGAGCGTGTCACTGTCGCGGGCTATATTGAAGAGGGTAGCACCACCACGCCTTTCGATATGATGCTTCTCAACCGTGTCTCGCGTTACCATGTCGCTCAGCACGCTATTCATGGTGCTGCCAAGGGAAATGAGAAGATCCGGGTGTATCAGCAGGAGCTGAATGCTCAGCTGGAGGGGAGTATCGTCAACACGAGGAGGTATATTGTGGCAAACCGCGACGGTGAGTACTCTATCCTATTTGCAATTTTCCATGCAATACTGACTTTCACTCGTAGATCCTCCGGGTATCTATGACACGCCACAATTCCACAACTTCCACAAACCGGCTGAGCCATTCTGGAATCTTGAGTAGTTCCAAGGTTCTTCTTAAAGCAATGTCAGTTATTCTAGAGCAATCAGGCATGAAGAGTTACCAAAATGAAAGCTCGTCATTTCTTTTTTTTACCTTCTCCTTCTCTTCTGCCCATCCACAATCGAATAGGTTTATTATAGCTCATGTTTTAGCAAGAGTAGCTGAACGAGGTAAGACAGAGCCCTGCCTAATGTCACCGAGTCGTCTGTTCATATCAACCTTGGTCTGATCAGTCAACAAAAAGATGAAGGGGCGCGATTCTCAGCGACATGTGAGAGCCGATTAATCATATTTAATCATATTCAATCAGCCTATCACTCATACGCCGGGCTAATCATCGCAGCCCTAGCACACCCAGCGCAGACCAGGAATCCAGAAATGATGTAAGCGAACACGGCGTCCGCGGGTCGAGATTGGAAGCTGCCCAGAATCTGTGACGTATTCTTGGTGCCATGTCAGGGTGCCATGCTTGGCGGCCAGAGTTTGGAGGATTTCTGGAAAGCGAATGGATGTGGGGGATGGGGATATACTGATACAGGCACCAGTGTCAATCTCCTGCGTCTCTCCCCACGAAAACCGTTGCTCCCGATCCATACAGAGGATGACATCGCCCCCACTCTCTGCGATCGCATGGCCCCCGGCTCCGCCACTGACTATGGGCGGGGTGTCCAATCGGGTGACGTGTGTCTGAGTTGTCTCGCTATGTATACGGAGTATGCATGGTTGCATGGGCTCACTCGATTTGTCCGGCCGGAATACCGCCGCAATGTTGATACACCGGCAAGGCAAGACTCAATCTCCGTTTGGTCATCATACTTGGGAAATACCTTTGTTCTGTTGGTTGACTGGACCTTGGAGAATCGGTATCGGAGAATTTTTTATTTGGCTGTATCAAGTGTGAATGGCCTGCTTTTCGTGAGGTTAAATACTCCACTGCTTTTGCGATCTGCTAGAGTGAAGATCGGCGATCGTTACCTTTTGTGGCTTGCCTATAAGTATACGAAGTATGAGTTCCTTTGGCTATTTGTTAACATTCATGGACGTTGCCAGTCTATTATGTTGTCCATGGAATGCATAAGCCGATATGAGAAGACGTGAGATTCAAATAATCAGTCACGAATAAGGTGCATGTGGATCCTCGTACTCTTTTTCGTAATTTTTTTCCCACATACGTACATCCGCGCCATCCGAGGCGGCGGACCTGGATTGTCGTTCATCCGATATCCCGACAAAACTAGGGCCAGAGCCAGACTTGATCTGTTTGATTGTGATTGTCTCTTATTATCTTGAAGCGGTGTGTGGAACTGACTCTTGAATACGAGCAACCGTAGACATAGCAGGATGGAGTGACGTTGGAAGTCGGAGATATAGAAGCCGGATTCTCTCCAACTGCCTAGCGCTTGATTACCGATTGTCGTGACGCATTTAGACCTTTCATAAGACTCTTCTTTGTGTGCGGTTTTAGCGGAGATAAATAGAATCCCTCATGAGGCAAACTTGGCGACATCCACGCTAATCCCAAAGAGTGTAGGCTTGCGAGGTAAGTTGTAGTTCGGCCCGGTTATCTATCAGATCGCGCCCATTTTTTATGAGGCTTGACTTTGACGCCATCCTTAATCTACCACATCGTAGTAGTCCGTCGGGTGTATAAAGTACAATACTCACCGGCTAGGGATACCCCCACCGAGGCGGTTGGCTGCCTGTTTGCTGTTTACCGTATGGATGTGCCTTTCTATACCAACCGGAGTCGGCCTGTTTATCAATCCGCTCTGGACGCTGGAAACTGGCCATTGGACATGAACAACTTGAATGTCGGGATTGGTTGCGCCGATGCGGGTCTTATCCTCCCCGGTAGATTATTGTGGTAGTACTCCGTACTCCGTAGTGCATTCAGAGACCCGTGGCTTTGGCCTTGAAAGGTCTTTCCCGATGGTGGGGCTAGTGGATGCTCGGCCATGCTCTTACTCCGTACTCTTTCTCACTTATATTCAAATTGTGCGCGTGGATAATACTGAAGCCTATTCCTTGGCTCTCTTTTGGTATCTTTTCGATTTTGGACAAACAGGGTGGTTGTCTATAAATCTCTTCTCTAGTCGTCTGGGGAATCTCTGTCCATCTTTCAATCCATCCAAGTACTACGGATTTACTGTTAGCTTTAATTTCCTCGCCAATCCCCTGATAGATTCCTCGGGGTCATTCGTTTTCTTTCTCGCCATGGTCGACGTGCTAGAGCTGCAATACGGCTGCCCTGCCTATATCGAAGGCGTTGGCACCTCATATGGATATATCCCATCGCTAGGAGCAGGCATTGCCTTCTGCACCCTATTTGGTCTCTCGTTGATTATCCATACAATCCAGTTCATATGGAAGCGACAATGGTGGGCAAGTGTGTTTAGTGTGGGATGTTTGGGTAAGGCCTATGACATTTGAAACCCTAACTCCCCGCAATACTAACAACACCAACAGTCGAAGCAATCGGCTGGGCCGGTCGTACCTGGTCAGCCAAATGTCCATACAACGGAACTGCCTTCCTAATGCAGATTTCCACCCTCATCATCGGTAAGCTACCTTCTTGCCCTTGACTATCCATACCCAACCTAACATTCCACAGCCCCAACTTTCTTCACAGCAGGAATCTACGTCGTCCTAGGCCGCTTCATTCAAATCCTCGGCCGCGAATCCTCCTTCCTGAAGCCAAGCCTGTACCTATGGATCTTCTGCACCTGCGACGTAATCTCCCTCGTCGTCCAAGCCATCGGCGGCGGCATGGCCTCCGGAGAAGCCAATACGGTCGGCGGCGACACCGCAACTGGCACGCACATCATGGTCGCTGGAATCGTCTTCCAGCTCTTCTCGGTAACCATATTCGTCATTTGCGCGGTCGACTTCATCCGCCGCGTTATGCGCAAGAATCTGCTGCAGCCGGGGTCCGGCTCGATCCTTCCCCTGTTCGGGGCGATGATACTTTCCATCATCTGTATCTATGTTCGGAGTATCTATCGTACGATCGAGTTGTCGGAGGGATGGGATGGTTATCTCATTACTCACGAGTCGTACTTTATTGGGCTCGATGGGGCTATGATGATTGTTTCGGTGGCTGTGTTTAATGTGCTGCATCCTGGATGGATGTTGAATAACGAGAAGGCTGATTCGTATAAAACCGAGCGCACTTCGGTTGATCAACCGGACAGGTACCGGGGTCCGCCGACTCACTGGTGATTGCGTGATCATTGTGCTTGTTACTTGGTTTGCCTGTTTCCTGTTTTGGGATTGGTCTTGCTTCTCTATACCTGTCACTTCTTACTTACGATTTGCCCCAGCAAATACTAGATACTTAATTGGGGTGTTGGATGTTATACAGCGATTAACGTTCCAATGACATAGACTTATGATTAATTTCAATTCCAGGCCATTTTCAAGATATCGGATTCAAACAATAACGAAAGGGTAATAGATGAACGTTCCAAGTGTGAAGAAGTATGAAGAAGCAGTACTTGACAGTCGGAAAAAAAAGATAAAACCCGGGGATTTTACAAAACGAAGATAATGATTGAGGCCAATAGCCCCACAGCTGATCAACAAAAGGTATATATCGTAATTCAAGAAAACCATTGGAGATATCAAAGCCAAGCGCGCCATAAGAAATAGGATGAGGGTCACTGCCTCTACCTCTCGCGCACCCGTCGCAGCTGAAACGAAAATCAACCTGGGAGCACAATCCCTCATGCTGTCATTATCACATATTATCATACGCCATCAACGGCTTCGATCCAGCCGAAGGTGGCTCCTGCAATCAGTATCGCAAATGACCAGACCGCTCCCCAAGTGGCAGCACCTTCGATAGAGACATCACTGATTGTGCCGGCCACTTGAACAATCGTGTTGAGTAGGACTGCAAGCGCAAGAACAATGGATCGAGAAACCAAAACTCTCGTCTTGGTGGTCAGTTTGCCCCAAGTGTTGCGACAAATGGCCGCAACCAAATATTCACCCTCGCAGCAGTTTGCAGACCCGGTAGTTGTTGAATAACCAGTAGAGCTAACAAATAAAAAGTCACGCGCAGCCCAGCCAGCAGGAATCAGTGTCAGGAAGAGAACAGGCAAGCCAGCGGGACCAGCATGCGCCGCGCTGATATCCGGGAGACCCTCGAAGTGAATGACCAGCTGTGTAGGAAGCCAAGTCGCATAGCTGGCGTACAGCACAACGCTGAAAATCGAGGTTGCCAGGAGAGTCGTGAAGATAGTGGTAGTCTTATCCTGTAGAATGTTTCGATTGGCAACTGCATCAGTAGGTGTTTGCGAAAGGTTGTGGACGGACGAGGGCCGGCGCAGGAGTGCGAAGGGAAGCGCCGTTGAGACAATCGTGACTCCATATGCTATCAGTGTAGAAGTTGGGCGGATGCCGTAGAAGAATGACAAGAGAGAGTATGTCGGTAGGTGGGTCAGGAATAGGAACGATGCCACATCACGGCCTAATCGCAACCACAAGGTTAGTTTTTTTGCACCGTCTATATAGCTGTAGGAACCTCGAGTCCGGACGCAAAAGGGGCCATGTGGATGGTATTGATACTTACCATCAAATCCTAGAGCCCAGGCTAATCCGACCTCCACAGCTCTCCAGGCTATCAAGCCCCCCACTTCCCACCATTCTTCAAGGTGTTTGCTGATAGGCCCGAGATCGCCAACCGTCAAAGTAGAGGTGAGTGTGAAAAAAACGGAGCTCAAAGTGAGACTGCTTAGGACGACAAGGATGAAGCGGGCCGGCGATGGGATGCAGGCCAATCGAGAGGTCTGTGCAGTGGCCGCGATCGCGAGCTCACGCGCGGGTCGCGTGTGTTCGCTCCACGATACAGTTCGCTTCTTAGGGGTCTTAGTCGGCATGTTGAGGCTTTGAGGCTTGTAAATTTGAAAAGCGAGTTAAATGAAATGCAGAGTCAAAAGTAGAAATCACTGGTAATTGTTTTCACGCGGTTAAAGCTTGGAAGAGAAAAAGAGAAGGCGGGCCAAATGTTTGGTTGGCGGTGAGCACACGATGATGTCACTATTGCCTTTCCAAGGGCCAGATTCGAGGACTCGACTTGGTCTCCAGGGCTGCCACATAACTAGTATAGATTTGTAATTACAATAGGACCTCCCATTTGTGAATCTAGGTATGACATATACAAAATAACTAGTCTTCATCTTCACCTTCACGTTCAGCCACAGCAAATTCAACTGTCCCACTCTCTCGTCCGCGATTGTCCCGTACAACCATGCGATACTTGCCATTATTCCAGAGATCTTTGATGGTCAATTCGCGAGTACGGCCAAGACTCTCAATATCTCCAATCCGCTCTAAGGTTCTGTCCAGGTGATTGTCGAAGTTCTCCTTGGCGCAGATTTCTTGGAAGGCACGCTGCATGGGTACTGAATCAGCACGCACCATGGCTCGTGAATCAATGGTGAAGATATTTTCGTGATCGTAAGATTGAATAAAGTCAGCACGAGTCATGATCTCGCGCGCTTCATGGAGCGGAATTTCTGGCAGGATGTGGCCTTGCTCTTCGTGGTAGTTTGACTCCATCTCTTTCTCTTTCTCTACCAGCGCTTTCGCCAGAACCATAGCAGCAGACTATGTTGTGGTTTAAATTAGTTTTGAGTTGCATCGAAGTAACAAGAACCAGAAGATCTTAAAGTGTGTACTTACGGCGTACTTCTGCTGGTCCATCACATCATCATCCATCTCCATTCCGAGGATCCAGCACTTATTTAGGAACCATGTTTTCTCCGCTTGACAGATTTCATCGCAGGTCTGTGTCATATCCTTAGATTT